AAAATGCAAGGCCTTTTAGGGAGTTCAGATTAGCCAATACAGCCTTAACAATCCATCAAAAAGAAGACCCTACATAATTGTATGGTTTTTGTAAGGTTTGATGACCAAGGTACAGTCTGAAGATATGCATTGTTGTCCAATTGTGTTCAAATTTAATTTAATTAAAAGTAAAATACATAATAGAATACCTTACCTTACTTTACCTTACCTTGCTTCGTTCCCAATTTTTTCTTGAAAAGAATATTCCCAGCGGCCCTGACCAAACAATAACAACAGACATGTTGGCAGAGTCAGTCTGTTTCATCATTTGAAGTGTTTTGTCAGAATATTGGAAATGGCTACGTTAGCTAACTTAGTGACCTACAGCAGATCTCCAATAATATCAGAAGGAATAATGTGATCACATTTCTGTTTTGAGCTTCTTGCAGCGTTCCGCATTTATTCAATGCTGCGCATGTTTCATCAATTTGGTGAATGTTTTCTAAATACTTCACATGTTGTCAAGTTGCTAAAGATGTTTTTTCATTTGCATGTGTTTTGGCAAATGGATGTTTTTACAATTGCATCATTTTTTACAAGTGCAGTGCGTTTCTCCTAATGAAATTGTTTGGGCCATTGTAGCACGTTTCGACCTGCTGTAAATATAACAGATATTTCCCTTAATGAGTTGCTACAGGAAAGGAGAGAGAGGAGGGTATCGGCTACATCAGGTTAACACAAACACAAAGTGGAGACCATCTTTTGATAGGATGGTAACAGAAAGGCATTAAACACTTGTAATGTTCTGTGGCACAGGCCAGGTGCCTCTCTTCAATCAACATGTAAATGCAACATTTAAAAAAAACATTCAACCACCTATGTATGTCTTCAAGTGTTGTTGGAGTCCGCTCTAAAGGGCTGCTCTTGAATTTTTGAATCAAATCTGACTTTTTCCAATTCAAATCCTGGGGGCAAATGTTCAAATGTCATAGACTTAACTCGGTGTAGATGGGGAGCTGGGCTGGTATTTTTGCGGAAGAAGAAAGAGGGGTGGACAGACGGACTGAAATGGGGAACAGAGGGAAGCAGGATTTTCAGGGACAGACGGTTAAAACAGCAGGTGTGTTAGAAAGCAGCGACCGGTCATTTTCACACTCCAGTTCAACAGAGCAGGTGTGTGTGTGTGTGTGTGTGTGTGTGTGTGTGTGTGTGTGTGTGTGTGTGTGTGTGTGTGTGTGAGTCACCTTTCTGTGGACGTCTTGCTGCCATGTGTGTTCACCATCATAGAGCTGCAGACTGCTGATGACGTAATTTATGTCTTCAAATATATAAACAAAAGCAATTTGGTGTCAAAATGTGTCTGGAGACTGCACTCCATGGAGGAATGATGAAAGGATTACTGCTCTGATGAAATATCCCTCTCAGATGTGATGACGGGGGAACAAGGCTTCATGTTCTCTGTTCTAAATATTTATGGTAGAAGTCTTTGCGCTATATATAGAGCACAATTAGATAAATATTACGGGGAAAATGGTGTAAAGCAAGCTGGATGTCAAATTATTATTATTATTTTTGTTATGTTAATAAGGCTGTAACAGGTTACGTATTTTTTACGAGGCATCGCTGTAACGAGGTCATACAGAATACACACTATCGAGACTGGTTTTATGCTAAGCTAGGCTTAAAAGACAGACATGAGAAGATTTTTCAAAAATAGAGGTGCATTTTTTCAACAACAAAAAAATGAAAATCTGTTTTCATGTTAAACATTTCATGTTAATGTTAAAAAACCCTTATAATGGCTAGTGACCAAACATAGAAATGAGAAGAACTTTTAACCCAGAGTGAAAGGGGAAACAAATAGATCATACAGTCAAAGTAATGCAAAAGTGTATGAAGAAACCCCCATTTCCAATGAATGGACGCACATAAGATTGATATGGATTCATAATTATGTAGTCATAAATTGTTAATTATATTTCCCTCAACTCAAAATGAAGTTTATTTGCTAATTGCTAAAATGGTCTAAGAATTGTACTGGTCTTTCAAAGCGACATACTGTTCCAGAGAGGTCTGTAGTTGTAGTGGTCATATTTTATCTCCGCTCTCTACCGGCACATTTCTCTGCCTGCAGAGATCTTGGCAGCCTGTTGAGCCAACTGTGTGGCCCTGCAGTGCAATAGCAACCTGTGCAGCCAAACGTGCTGCCCTGTGTCCCCTGGCAACCAGCGCGGCCAATCACGGCCCCCTCAAGGACTTTTTGAGGCCTTATAGCCTGTTCTGAAGTCCCGCCTTCGCAGTTCTGCGCAGTGCCATTCAGCAGCAGAGTAATGTGGAGGTCTCATCGTCCCAATATGAGGCAGGTGGTGTGAATGTGAATGGTGCCGGACACTCGCCTGCTTCTTCATATATATTTAGATCAGATTTGCCCATATTTCTACCACTTAGTAAATATCATATTGACTTAATCTAGTTGCACGAAAATCGGTTCAGTAAATGGGAAAAATACTATTAAACTAATTATTACTTTTTGCATTTAATTAAATCTTACCATAGCGTTGTAATGAAATGCTACATCATATAGTTATGTTTGATCTGCTTAACACATATGTGTTGATTTACTTAAATTGTCTTCACTCTTTCACAAATTAGTTGTACCTATGTTTATCATACTTAACTTAATCCAGGTTGCTCTATCAATATAAGTAGTTCAAATGACAACAACTCAGTAATTTTATTTCACCTGATTTTAATAACATTTTAAGGCTAGACAAAGTACAGTATGTTACTAATGAGAAGCAAGTGCTCTACATGCACCAGAGGAACTCTTTTTTAAATACAGAACATTCAAATTGGTAAGAAAGTACAATGTATTTTCGGACTGGGACTCTGCCCTGGATGTTTCTCCCACATTTCATTGTTACTGTGAGCCTGTGCTTTATTTTAGAACAACCCCCAGGGCGTACTGCTGAGAGAGCCCATGAATATCAGATGCTGCCTGCAGCCCCCTGAAGTCCTATCAGTACCATCGCACGAGCAGGCACTTACAGATCCTTCTCCTTCATTCACCCACACCACTTCATAACTGCCTTTGTTTAAAGCCTTAGCTGCAACTAGCCCAGCCACTCTCACTATCTGTGAGACACAGCAGCATGTGGGGGACTGAGGTTCTATCTGCCGGCTAAAGAGTACTGAGTGAGGCCAACACAATGCGGTGATCCACAGATTTGATCCTAATGAAAACATCAAAACAAATTTGGAGAAATCGACAGAACTCAGTCAGGCCAAAAAGTAACTTCATTCTTTAAAAACGTTGCAGCTTTGAACACTGTTGCTGCTCTGGACCGTTTTTCAGAACTCAGCCTGATGTTAAAGGTAGAATGGAGAAACCAGCTCGAGTGTGCTAGAATTTGAAACTACGCAGCCGAAAAAAATGCCCCTTCCTTCAGACTTCCTTACAGACCCCCTCCTCCAACACACACGAACGTGCACATGACCAATGAGGGCACGAGATAAGTTTGTGCACAGATGGAAGGCTGACAGGCAGGTAGGCCATCCAGTTATTTTAGCCGGGCCGGCTCAGATGATTGGTCGAGCTTTTTACATCGACACGGCTTCCACAGATGACATTTTTATGGATTTATTGTCAAAGCATTTAATGTATTCATTGCTATCGGGATCTTAAGAGCATTCCATCGAATATATAAAAAAAGTGTTTCTGAAATAAATTACCTACCCCACCTTTAAGAGTAAATTGGTATCTTGTTTAATTTCATTCACTAACTCAAACATGGGTGGCTTTTTTTTGCTTATTTTGTTAGGTAAACCAATCAGGGGCCATCAAGTGCCATATTCATCCCACAAATGAATCCAAAGAACAGGTTGCTCTGAATAGTTATCTTTGGTCAGGACAATTAAAACCTAGTTAATAACTAGTAAAAACCAAGCGACTCACTAAGAAAAACCAAGGTATTAACTAGTTTAAACCAACCTACTGACCAATCCTGTTACAGTGGATGAAGCAAGCAGGACCCAATGCAGATTACACTGATATTGCCTTTATTTCAAGGATAAAATAATAACTTGGAGAAAACAGAACACTCAGCGGTGAACTCATTCACAAACAAAAAGCACTGTGTCAATGAGGTACCCCGGCGCGACTATTGTCTTAGCATTCAGACGGTCTCAAAGAAGTTCTGAGTCACTGAGTTCTAACAAAAGTATAGTTTATATAAGCAGGGTAATATTAAACACCAAACAAACAGCTGTTATCCTGGAAGTGGAAAGACGCTCTTTGAGGATATCATACAACCACATTTTTCTTACCAACATAGAAAAAAAACTCTTTTTGCCTCCATATGTTTCCCCCCGCTAATGTCTTCCTGTCTTTTTGTATAATCTTTAGGCAGTTGAGTGGGTAATAATGACCTAAAGTCGAACAGTGTTTGCATTAATGCTATTACTGATCAATCTGGGATCGGGGACCTAATTAAACCAAGCGAGCGTAATTAAATGGAAATCAGTACCTATCATCATTACCGTTAATTGTGTACTAAAAGTGTAAAAATTAGATCTCATTAGCTGCTTTCCGCAATATTTTTTCCTCCATTTGTGGACGACAATTTTTACCCGAGGAGGCTGGAGATTAGTATCTAGGTAAAGTGGTTTTAGCTATTGCAGATTTACACTTGATTCTTTATTTGTTACATTTTAATTCATTCAGATTATGTAATGGAAAATGTAAGATGTATATTTTAAACTGTGAAATAATCTGCCTAAATGACAGGAGTTATTTTTTGCCGCAACTGTACAGCCTTGTTTCTGTATCCCCACAAACAAGGCATGACACGAGAGCTGGTGTCAGCAACTCTGATCTCATCTCTGCTCCACTTCTCCGTTCCCTCGAGCATCCGACGTAACTAGAGCAGCCAGTCTGAGTAAAAATGCAATCCCCCCCTCCTCCCCCCCTGTTTGCATCCTGTTATTTAAGCCTAGAACATCCCAAAGACCCCTTTCCTACGGTGATTGAATACAATGTCCCCGCTCACATTGAGAGCCCATGATTATGTCTCCACATCTGACTGACCGCCCAAGTTTTTCATGCCATGGGTAATGTGGCAAGGTAACCTAGCAACAGCTGTGTGCCTCTGCAGATATGTTGAAAGGGATGCTGAGGGAAGTAAATGACGAAAGAAAAGGCAGTGTGTGGAGAGGGGGTGGACGGGAGCTGAAAGAGCGAGGCGTGGGCTGGAAGATGCAGGAGCTGTGGTCATTAGTGAGCGAACTACAAGAAGAAACTCGCAGAATGTATGACCTACACTAACTTCCCCCGAGAGAACATCCGCTAAGCTGATGTGATGTTGTGGTAAACCGCAGGCTGTTCGGGGACGAGTCGGATCTTCACTTCTGGACTGTGGCGTCCCACTACATCCAGGCGTTCGCTCAGGCTCGTCTGTCCATCGCAGAGGGGAACACCCAGGGTGAAGGAACCAAGCCACCACCGCCTCAGAACCACCTGGACATCTGCAATGACATCCTGTGTGAGAGCTCTTACTTCCAGGTCAGTAAAACAACAAACAAATTAAGTGTCAGCATCCCAAATCTGATCCCAATTCCGGCATGTGGGCTTGTGTTGAACCACAATCAGTACTCTTCTCCAAGCCACATCACAACCTGAAAAACGTTCAAATAAAAAAATTACCATTGATACATTTTTTGGGGAACAAATATTGACATCATCTGCGTAAGTGAAACCAGCACTACCTGTTTCCCCTGTCCCACAGTTAGCCAATACAATAAGGCCAAAAAGATGCCTTTCTCAAAGAATGGGTTGTACTTTCATGTCTTAGATATTATGAAACAACCAACTTTTTTCTGCATTATTGCACTCAAATTTGCGAAGTTAAAAATGCCTGATACCTCCAAACACGTTCTTTGCTTTCTTGCAGGTTTATAAAAAGTGTCACCTTGATTAAAAAATATGGTACACCAGTTCAAGCCGTTTAAAAGACATAGTCTGAAACCTATTTAGCCGGTTATTGCTTTCTCGGTCTCTGGTTCACTGACACAATGGAGACAAATACCTGATCCCTGCAGTCGACATTTAAAAATTCCCATAGGATTCCTCACAGAGACAGTTACTCTCCTGAAGTCAGAGCACACACAAACAAGCACCTACCAGGCTGTGTCTTGTCATCCAAAGTGTCAACACAGCACGGGTCACACAGTATATTCCATTATCAATGACATTGTGTATTAGGGCTGCTCGATTATGGCAAAAATCATAATCTCGATTATTTGGGTCAATAATTGTAATTGCAATTATTCATTGACTTTGAAAACCTCCATTTATTGGAGAAAAAAATGTGAACAGTATGTTTTTAACAGTTGATTACCCTGAACTTTAAAGGTGGGGTAGGTAAGTTTCAGAAACCGGCTCGAGTGCACTAAAATTTGAAAGTACACAGTCAAAAAGAATCCGCCCCTTCCTTCAGACTTCCTTACAGAGCACCTCCTCCGTGAGAGCAGGCTGCAGTAACGTTACATATCGGGCAAAGCTAAACACATCTAGGTTATCAATACTACACAGCCAAAGCAACTCCGATATTGACTCCTGGTTTGACTTCTCCTAGTTTCCACTTTCTTTTTGTTCTTAATTTTCTCCGTTACATTTTTTCTTTTGCGACCAGTAGACGATGTTGAACCTAACTCTGCCATGGTGAAAGTGGCCGCCTTGTTGCTGGCGAGTCATTGAAGTACTGCTGCAATGCACGCCCCATGACGGCACGCCCAATGAGGGCACGAGATACATTTGTGCGTGCACGAGATGGAAGGCTGACAGACAGGGCGGCACTCCAATCCGTTTGGCGGATTGGTTGTAGTTTTTACAGTATTACGGGTTCCACAGATGACATTTTTTTATGGATTTTTTGTCAAAGCACTTAAGATATTCATTGCTATCGGGATGTTAAGAGCATTCCATGGAATATAACAAAAAGTGTATCTCGAGCCGGTTTCTGAAACTTACCTACCCCACCTTTAAGTATAATTCAACTGAAAAACCAAAATAGTAATAATAAAAAAATAATCGTTTGATTTTGATTACGTTGTTTTCGTAATCGTTGCAAGCCATAATCGTAATCGCGATTAATTGAGCAGCCCTATTGTGTATGTATCTCTTCTGTTGTCTCACTAAGCCTCACTCTTTTAGGGAAGTATCTCACACTTTCAAGCCTTTAAGGTCAAACCTATCTTTCACTTTGACCCCACTAAAACTAAAATCAATCCCACCAACATTTCCTCCAATGACTCTAGCCCACCCCAGGCTACGCTCAATGAAAAAAACATCTCTTGTTTGCTCCGTGTCATTGCTCGGATCAATTCGCTTGCTGATGGCTTTAATAAACAAAACCTTGGATCTCTTCTTTTTTTCCAGCACTAATTATTGACCCAGTTTCTTCTGGAGAGTGTTGAGAAGATGTCTATTGATCTGTCCTGCACCGCCTTTTTCTACCTTTGCCGGTCAACATAGCACCATCAGAGTCCATTTGAATAAAAAAAGAAATCCACCTCCATGTTTCCATCAGGAATGCATCTGTTTTACATTCCATTTTTTTTCCTTGTTAGATCTTATGTACCCTAACATTGTGTTTGTGTCGCAAGTACAAATCTACTTATGCGGACATAGTTATAAAAAGAAAACAAATGGAATAGTTGTGTAAAAGTTGGTTTTCCAAGTGAAGCCAGACTGGATTTCTTCACCTATAAAGCTACATAATGTTTCTTGACCTTTTTTGATGAAAGCCAGTTAAGGAAAATGTCTAACGGCTCTTACTATTAAAGCTTAAAGTAGCATGAATGGACTGTCTAATTTCATGGATGTTCTATTAAAAAAACCTCAAATAAGAGTCTTTTTTTTTCTCTGAGTGTCTTTCGAGGTTAATTTGATGGATTATGCACTATTCTGTTCTTTAAAATAGTTTTAACTTTTAATGAGCAGCCACGGAGTGATCCCAAAGTTTCAAAGTGCTGCCCAGACACTCGGCAGCTACTCTCGCAACTGTTTGTCATAAAACAGCTTCAGTGGCAGCAGCCTGGCTGTAATTACTAATATCCAAGACTCCAATACAGAGCATGCGGTTACTAAACTCATCTTGTATCTCTGCAAGGATTTTAAGCCCACGGCTGTGACTCACTGAAGAATTCATCATAATAAAGTGCAAAGAAAGTACTGCCTGTGTCGGATAAAGATACAAGGGTGTACACACACACACACACACACACACACACACACACACACACACACACACACACACACACACACACACACACACACACACACACACACATCCTGTGCAACTCATTTTCTACTATGCTGTTATCGCTCTTGTTATTGAACCATTTTCCCTCTAGTCCTCATATAAAAGTCATTCTTTAAAATAGCTATCGCTGTTTAAATGTTTCAAGCCTATCATTTGCTCTCTGAAAAAAATATCTGAACTCCCAATTGGGCACATGTAATGAAATAATGGGGGGGGAAAGCACTGATATTAAGTATGGGTGGCTCTGGCACCAGGGACACTGGGAGAACTCTTGAATATTTTAAGGAGTTTTTAATTGCGCTCTCCATCTCTGCTCTCTGTATTTCTATAATTGTCCTCCATATCTTTTTTTGCACATCATTACTCTTTTTCTGTCCAGAAATGATACATCTCTACTGCTCACCCACACACACGCTTATGGATCTATGGAGGCATTATGTTAAAATAAGCTAACTTTTGTCTTCACTTTCCTGCCCAACAGAAGTTCCAGTTGGATCGGGTCCACCTGCAGGAAGTGAAGCGCTCCAGTTATGAACACACTAAGAAATGTGCGGACCAGCTCCTCCTGCTGGGTCAGGTAGGAACTGCACCACACAGACTGTTCACACACTGTCCTACAGAAACAATTATAACATAGAAGAGTGCCATTATAGAAGTGTTTTAGCTCACATTCCCCAGCCTTAAAATAACCTAGGAGATGATCAAATATGTCTTCTGTAATTGACGTCAAAGTTACTAAAGTGTTCAGATCTACTTCAGTGCCCCACTACTAATAAACATCCTGCATTCCAAACCTTCCTTATGTCATGGAATTATGTAAAATGTTCCCTACGAGTGTTTTACATGACGTTTTGGGATAAGTATTGCTGCTGCATTAATGTGTCTGTTGCCTTTAACCACTGCAGATGTTAAAGGTTGTCGACTCCTCTTATATACTGTTTGGTAGTTTTCTCTACAGCAATGCATCATATATTATAAAATCATCACATGTTTGAAGCATTGCTGTCCAATGATGATCTCTAAAAAGACGACTTCTTGTGTGCGACCAGCTTTGTGTGGGTTGCATTGAACAGCTTAACCAAGAGGTTTTTTAAATATAGATAGATGAGTAAAGTGCAATATTTGCCTCAAAGGGCAAACCTCCTTTTGATATTTCAAAAGATAAACCTGGCAGAGGTTTTGCTTTTACTTCTTTCTTGCTTAAAGCTTCCAGACTATATGCCACCATCCTGTCTCCCACAAAAACACTAACTAACACCTTCACACTCTATACTGTAGCTGGACATACAAGCATATTCCCATGAGGGTAAATAGGTGATGTCGCTGCTGTGGAGCCTAATGAGGCAAGATTGACGATAAGTGCTGCCTGTGTCCCCCTTGGTGTCTCAGCCTGTGGGGATTGTAGTCACCCCTCCCCACTTAAGGTCCCCACTCTGGCTCTAATCACAGGCTACAATCAGCAGGCTGTACGTGGAGGCGCTCTCCTCCAATCGGCAGACAGGCTGAGGCCAGCATGAGCTGACCCCGCCTGAGCCTCATCCCCTCCAGATGAAACCCTGATGATGAACATAATTTCCCCTTGTTAATGCTGTTGTTTGTCCTCAGTCATTACATCCTCATCTCTTTGTTGTGGCTCTCAGACGGACCGGGCAGTGCAGTTACTGTTGGAGACGAGCGCAGACAACTCCAGCTACTACTGTGATTCCCTCAAAGCCTGCCTGGTGACCACCATCACCTCCTCAGGACCCTCTCAGTCCACCATCAAACTAGTGGCCACCAACATGATCGCCAACGGCAAGCTAGCAGGTAGAGTTGCTGCATGTCTGAAAACAGCTTGCAAACTTCTCCTCTGGGTTTTAATGAGTATCTGCAGCATTCATTGTGTGGGTGGCAGCAGCCTCAAAAGCTTATCCTTAACCCCTGTGCCTCATTGGGCAAGTTTTGGGCTTTTTAATTGTTTTATTAAATATGGCATACATTTTGGCAAGGGTGAGATTTTCTTTAGTTTTAACTATTCCGACTCTTAAGGACCCGTAAAAACACTTATTTTGAGGACATTCGAGTCATCCATTTTGTTGTATCAGACTTTTCATCTAAAGCCCTGGGCTGCAGTCGAATAGTCCATTTAGCTTAGGAACCTTCCTAACCGAGTGAAATGATCCGGAAGTCCCTCAGTAGCAGCCATGATAAGTGCCGTTCGAATTCTCTAGATCAGGCGTTTTCAAAGTGTGGGTAGGTGAGCCTCCCCTCAGAGAACATAAGAACAGCCGCGCCCCCCCTCCCAATTATTATTGCTGTTATTATTATTATTATTATTATTATTGTTGTTGTTGCTATAATGCAGGGGTATTCAATTGCATTTCAAAGAGGTCCAGTAAGAGAAAATGTAATTAAATGCTCTGTTTTCGCTGTCTACCTTCCGCCATTTGAAATTACTCCGACTGTTTCTCTCCTCTTGTCGTGTCTCTGTGTGTGTTTGAATCTATCGTGCTGACTGCA